CATGTGTCAAAACATTACTCTTTTTATAACTAAAGGATATTCCTTTTTTTTTTTTTTTTTTTTTTTTTTTTTTTTGCAATACCTGGGATTAAACTCAGGACCCTGCGCTTGCCAGGCAAGTGCTTATTCTACTGAGCTATCTTCCCAACCCTAAGAGTATTCTATTGTTTTTTGGTTTTTTTTTTTTCAATAACAGTTCATCAATTTATTTTATTTTATTTTTTTTTGCAGAACCGGGGATTGAACTCAGGCCCTTGCGCTTGCCAGGGAAGCACTTATTCCACTGAGCCATCTCCCTGGCCCGAGTGTTCTATTGTACAGCTATAGCACTTAGCTGTTGATGGGCATCTTTTATTTTTAAAATAGCTTTATTCTTTATATAAAAATATACTGACTTTTGTAGAATATTAGGGCTCTTCAGAAAATATCCAGAAGATAATAACATATATCCATAATTTCACCACCTGAGAATTACCTTTAGGCTTATATTTCTTTGTCATCTTTTTTATGTATGTATGTATAACATAGCTAACACTACAACTAGATATACGAGGTAAAATTGTTTTTTCAAATAATATATTATAAAAATTATTTGCTCTCATTAAAAAACTCTAATATCAAAAAGAAAAACCCTCAAATATCAGTCCAGGTAACCACATATTTTAAAAATGGATAAACCATAATTTAACATTTTTATTATAATTTTTTGATTATATAAGTATTGTCTTTATCTCTGACTTCTTGCATACGGATTCTTGAAAATGTGAAAAGGAAGAAATATCTTTAGAATTCTGTATCCATATTGTTAAATTGTTGTTTCCAGAGAGCATGGCCATTCACACTACCTTTAGTGTACCTTGAGAGAATTCCTGTCTCATCAGACTCTTCCCGCCAGAGAAAAAAATAGTGTTCTTTGAATCCAGTTATAGTCTGAGGACCACAGTAAGCTTTCACTCATATCCACATTGAGTTCTGCTTCACACTAGCCTTTTTTTCCACCAGTGCTGTAAATTGAACTCATGACCTTCTGCTTTCCAGGCAGGTGCAGTAACACTAAACTATGTTCCTGGCCTCACACACTAACTACCCTTTAGAAACAATGAAATGTGAAGGACACTGACTTAGAAAAATATGCATGAATCTTACTTCCTTCAAAATCTGACATCTGTGAGCCTCACAAAACCCCAGATTCTTGTGTGCCATTTTGTTGTTTTCAAAGGCAGAGTCTCGCTATGTAACTGAGGCTAGCATTGAACTCACTGTAGCCCATGTTGGCCTGGAACTCACAGTGATCCTCCTGCATTAACCTTCCAACTGCTTGGATTCAGGCATGTGCCTTATTCTTTAAAAACTCATTATTCCACTCAGATAAGATACAGGAAGAGGGGCTGGGGATGTAGCTGGACAGTAGAGCACTTACCTATTAATGCCCAAGGACCAGGATTCAATGTTAGGAGTTGGGGATATGAATTTCATGATAAATATTTAAAAACAATAGAGTGCCAATAAAATTTGATTTCAAGATCTTTCTTAATTCTCAGAACTATAGCTAACTAGCTAGGTGATGATTTGGCTACAGGAAAAAGAAATGACAAAACTGAGGCAGCAACTATTAATAGTTGTCAAGTACAATTCTGTGATACTTTAACCATTTATTGCTGTATAGAAAAAAACAAATAAACATCAGATTTTACCAGACAGAAGATAGAAAGCAGCTGTGACCAATACATGTGCTCTGCTCAGGCTTGTAAAGGCAGGGGTTGTTAAGGTACTGGTAGCAGCATAGTGGGACCACCTAGAATGACTTAAAATGGCTCTGAGTTCTGTAGAATAAATTGGATTAATTCAGAAAAGTCAGAGCTATATGAAAAGTCACACCAAAGTTACAACCCAGAGGTTCTAGGCATCTTCAGTGGGGCCACTACTGATGTTCTTTGGGGAGTTGAAATCTGACAGCATTGTGCAAAAATGTATAGAAGGTACTGATTCAGCAACTAGCAATTATCTTGTGCTAGACACTTCAAAGAGTCCTCTGTCTAATATTTTTTGGTCTCTGATCTCAGAGTTTGCCTATTAGGGCCAAAGATTTGCAAACACAATTATATTACAAGACCATTCTATGTAATAGTAATACCCATGAAAAAAGTACAGTAAGTGCAAAAACTACTTAAATTTTTCACGAAGTAAGAAACATCTGACCTGAGCCTTGGCTAAATGGAAATTTACAAGTAGAGAAGCAGGAAATGATTCTTCTGCACAATAAAGGCAGCACATGTAAACACACTAGGCTTGAGAAGATAAAATGGTTTTAGTTAATTGCAAGATACTTTGGATTGTTAAAGCAAAAAGCAAGAGAGCAAAGATGTCCAGTTTTTGGATTGGGATTTCAGATTGACAGCAACCTTTACCCTTGGCTACCTTTTAAGTGGGGGGAAAGAAACCTTATATTTACATCAAGGGGATTTTTTTTTTTTTAATTGAAAAGGGGACCTAAGCACTGGCATATTAGCTAGCCTGATAGCCGTTATTTACTTGTTCTTTGCTCCTTGTTCCTATTCTATATATAGATTATATGACCTACTTACATAGTAAAAAACATCACTGAAATAAGTGAAGCTTCCATATGAAATGCACAGTTTACGTGGTGAATTTAACAAGGTCCTTATCCGTTCTTTTGCCTAAAAGGATGGGGGAGGTGTCGAGTTGTTCTTGCTCATGCAAACAACTGATAGTTTGATGGTTTCTTATAGATTGTTCCCAGGAACATATAACCACGTCATTTGCTCATTAGGAAGAAGAGAATATTAGATATAAAAATATTCTGGCCTTTTAAATTTATAGTTCAGTGTTTCATTCCCTGTGTTCTAAAACGGACTCTATCCTTTACTGGACCTGATATTAATGAAACAGTATCTTTTATGCCACCCCGTTTAAAACAATCATGAATTTTTTTTTCTTCAGTAGCAGGGATTAAGCTATGGCCCTCACACGAACTTCATCCCCAGCCCTTTTTTCTTCTTTTTTGAAATTAAAAAATTATTATTATTATTTTTTGCGGAACCGGGGATTGAACTCAGGCCCTTGTGCTTGCCAGGGAAGCACTTACTCCACTGAGCCATCTCCCCGGCCCCTTAATATTTTTTAAAGAAAATTTATCTGTTTGTTTGTCTTTTTGAGTCGGGGTCTTGCTGTGCATTTCAGTCTGGCCTTGAGCTCACTTTGTAGCCCAGGCTGGTCTCAAACTCGCAACAATCCCCCAGCATCAGCCTCCCATATGCTGGGATTACAAGCATGTGCCACTATGCCCAGCTTTTTTTTTTTTTTTTTCCTAAGAAAGAAAAACAATGGTAAAGAATTTCAGACCAAGATAGCAGGATATTAACAATGGTTAATGTATTGCATATTGTTATTTTATTTTAAAAGTAGTTGCTCAGATTACAAAATATAGGTATGCAGTGATGCACAACCTGTTCTTTACAATGAACTAATAGAAATTAGTAGCATAATTATCTTAGCTATCTTTGTGTGTGTATATATGTATATATTTTTTCTCTTTTTCCTTTTCTCCTTTCCCCCATCCCAGTTGTTCTTTCCTTTTGAGCAGTTCCTTTCCCTTTAACAATATCTGTTGTACATTTTCGATCTTGTTTACCCTCAGTTTCTTACACTAGGGAAACAATACAATGTTATCACGTAAGTCTGATTTATTTCACTTGTAAGTATGGTCTCTGGTTGCATTCATTTATCTATGAAAACCTCATGTTTGTCTTTCTTCCCCAGCCATTTTTATTTATTTTGTTTTTGCTTTTTGTTTTTTTGAGACAAGGGATTGTTGTGTAGGTCAAGCTAGTCTGAAACTCACTGTGTGACCCACGCTGACCTTGAATGTCACAGCAATCTTGCCCCAGCCTCCAGAGTGCTTAAATTACAGCTAGGTGCTACCATGGGCAGCATAAATAAATTTTGTGTTTCTTGTTATTGTTGTGGGGGGCGTGGAGCGCAGGTTCTTGCTATATAGTTCGGAGTGGCTATGGACTCTCTTTTGCTTGCTAATCCTTGTACCTCAGCCTTCTAAGTGCTAGGGTTATAGATGTGCACTGTCACACCTGACATTTTGTTTTATTTTTTAAAACAGGGTCTTACTAAATTGTTCATGCTAGTCTTAACTTCAGCTTTCTGCCTCAGCCTCCCAAGTAACTGTAATGGGCATGCCTTACCATGCCTGGCTGGAATTGAATTTTTGTAAGCAAAATATGTTTTAAGCACAAAGGTGATATTTTAGGAAGGAAATTAAACAGTAAATGCATAAATACAGGTTATATTCAAATACTCAGTTTGCACTTCACTAAGACTTGCCAGCTTTTGACATAAAGGCTATGAACTAAAAGACTGCAAAGTTCAGTTGAATTTTAAAACAGTACTATGAATTTTTTTTTTGTACTATGAATTTCTTTCTTGTGATTTTAATACATGCAAGTCAGAAGTGTCTAAAATGCTAATATTTGAGACTTCTCACACATGAAAGTATGAAATTCTCTCTATTAAACCTTTTGATTTGGGCTGGATTTGGAAAATATAGTCCTAACACATTCTTATTTATTGGTTTCCCATAGAAAGATTATTTGATTTTAGGATAAATTCAGGGCACCATCTCATATCACATCACTAGTATGCCCTTCACAGGCCTCTAACATTTTTCTCAGGCCATCTTTAGCCACTAACATTTGACCTTTCTACGTACACAGTAGCCATCTTGAGAATTACATAGTTTATCTTTTCTAAAGTTAATACAAATTAAGCCATGATCATCATTCTGTTTAGAACAGCAGTATTGAATGCTTACTGTAAATGATAACACTGAAAAGAACCTTAGGTGTAATATTGAGAGGAAAAGATATAGAATTAAAATAGTGGTTTTTGAAAGAAAACATTTGGGAAATTACTTGTGGAGTTTAGTTACAATTTTCCAGGGATTTGTCTTTATTTTCTCTGTGTTCCAGGTCTTGCCTGAAATTAGAAGTCCCTTTCTTCCCCCTCCTTTCTGGTGCTGTTAGTGGTGGTGATCACCTCTGAGGAAGAAAAGCCCACTTCCCACTGACCATGGAGAACACTCAGCATCTCTGCTTGATTGTGACAAGGGCAGTTTTTGGATGGATCATGAAATGCTTCTAAAGTAGTCAAGAGTTAACTCTCCTAACCTTTTTAATTTATAAGCATGTTACCACCAAGGTAACTTACCAGTGAAATCACATTATTTATACACTTCTGTAAATTCAGCTGAACACCCCCACTCCCCTGCCCCCCCCACCACCAAAAGCAGCAGAGAGAAAGTATATGAATGAAAAAGAAAAATAATGCCTTTGTTTCCAGTACTGGAGATCAAACCTAGAGTCTAGATGCGTGCTATGTAAATGTTCTCTCTGAACTATCTCACCAGCCCTTTTGACTTTGTTTTGAGATAAGGTCTTGCTAAGTTACCTACCTTGGCCTCAAATTTGGAATCCTCCTGCCTCAGCCTCTCAAGTAGGTGTGATTATAAGCATGTACCACCATGTCCAGCAAAAATAATAATTTAGATTGTTACAGGTACTGGGAATCAAACTTAGAACCTCACGCTTGCCAGGCAGGTGCCCAAAAATAACAGTTTAAATAAAATAGTATATGTTCAGCAAGTCCAGGAAGTGAAATAAATTGCATCTGAAATAATCCATTCATATTGGTGAAAGTTACAGAAATAATGTTGGTATGATTTTAAAGGTTTTCCAGTTACTTATACAGCATATTCAGGTAGGCAGGTGGGTGGGAGAGTTTCTTTTATATTTACAAAGGTTACTGGAGGTTATTGAAACTATCCTTAAGAATTAGAAGAACTAACCAGCACTGTACCATGTGTCTATAGTCCCAGCCACTTGGATGGCTGAGGCAGGAGGACTGCTTGAGTCCAACATAGCAAGATGTTATCAATAAATTATAGAAAGAATTATAGGAAGTGACAGAAACCCCTTATGGAGTAACAGCAGTTGAAATTTTTATAAATGAAGTGTTCAAAATAGTGAAATACTGGTTAGTTAAATTTCTGAGTGTTCTTTGTGGATTTTCAGTGGTTATTTTTACCATATATATTTCCTCTATATTTGGTCCCCAAAGTAAGATACTAGATTATCAAGTAGCATTTGAACTGATTTCATTTGATAATGTAAATTAAATAAAATAGTGGGTAATTTCATTAAAAAATTAGTTCTTGGTGATAATTCCTTTTTTTAAAAAAATATGAGCATGAACTTCCTTTTTATAAAGGTCTGAGTTTGAAATCTAGATTCTCTAATAAAATGACTATTTCTTGACCACCCTACTAATTTGTGCCATCCCACACAATTGTATTTTATTGCTAGTGTCTTTTTTCACCTATA